AGAATTTAGCAAAGCTTACTTGCCAAAGCTTAACCCGCTGAAAGATAAATTTCGATAGTAACTTTGGAACAATTTATTAGATTTCTCTTTCAACATCCTATCAGCAAGTATTTTTACCGCTATATCCACTTTTCTAATATTCATACAACACCCTCTGTTTATTTAATCATCATATGGAATATTAAAATACCCTTTGTAAAATTTAATCGTCGCGATGAGATATTAAAATACCGTCTAACCTTGCTCTTCGATCGGATAGAGGTGTCCAGATTGTTCAAATCAATTCGTCGAAAACTGGGAATTTAGCGACTGTGGGGCGCGTATGCGTTAATATAAATTTGATTCCAATTGATAATACTCTATGGCAACTCGAATTTGTGAAATTCCCGATAGGTGAATCAGACTGATGGGCTCTCTCATTTTGCATACACGCTTCTGCTATAGAGTGTGCACCGTTGCGCAGCAAATGGGTTTGTAGCATGCGAGGAATAACTACCAGCCAAATAATTTCGTTGTCATCCGTTTAATAGTATCGCGCAACTCATATAGCCATTATAAAGTGTTGCATAATAGGCATTCTGGTTAGGGTACATTAAATTCGACTTTCTTTCCCAGATCCCAATTTACCTAGTGCGCGAAATTGTACATGGGGGAGACTGGGATCAAAAGTAATGCAGAGTAATTATAGCATGTTAAATAATTTAAAATCTATCGCGCCGATTTTCGAAAATTTTACAATATACGAACAACGTCGATTAACCAGAGAAAAGAAATTTTGTTCCAACCGTATTTTTCGAGTCACGGTTATGGAAATTTCAAAATATTCATGATACGTTTAATGATCTTTCATATAATTATTGCCTCGCGCGCAATTATTCGCGAAATTATCATCGTATCGACGAATAATATTAATTTCGTAAAAATGATCGCGTGTAATTCGATCCGAAATAGCGAAGTCATTAAAATTATTAATACATCGAACCAAGCATTATTCGTTGCAAGACGTTATCTCGTTTTACGGAATTTATTCTAATTCGTGGAATAACATTGATTTCATTTAGGCTGACAGAGTCGGTGTATCAATTATGATTTAAATACCACGCGATCTTTATTGCGTTCTAGACGCATTATTAATTCTGGATTTAATTCAAAAGAAAATTTAATAATTTATCGTCGTCGCGGCCGAGATCGCAAGATTAGGCGACGCTGGCGCGTTGTTGATAAGGTATCGATTATTAACGCGAGGTAATCGCGGTCGATCGGTGAACCGTCACCGAGCATATACCGTGTCGAACAATATGACATAATACTCAAAATAGATGAAAGCAAATATTTATTTGTATTTTTGGGGGCACAACAGATTAACATTCAAAATTGAATAATCGTCGATCTTTTTTGTCATTCAACAGTAGAACGAATACAAAGACTTTGTCGCAATATGTGAAGGTGCATTATTAATTGTGAATGGCACCAGCCTGCTTACGAATAATCAACAGATGCAAATAACACCACCTTGATGCGATAAGTGCGTCCATCTTTCGAACGCGGATCGCACCAGTCGACATATAATATAATTTCGACGATCACAAATAACGGCGTCTCGTAAATTATACGGCTATCTTATTAACGAGAGTGGCGCCAGGTAACTAACAAACAATTAATACGGCAATTTCGACTGCTCTATTAATGCACGCCACCATAAATAGCGCGTATATCTTTGAACCAACGATCGCGAAACTTTGCGTTTCCTCGCCAATTTATAAAAATTCAAATTAACCACCAAAATGTTTTCTTTTTGTGGTGCACCCTATACAAAAGCAAGCTACTTACGGAGGAAATAGTATTAATTTAAGAGATATTTTGATTTTAATATTTTAAGTGCTGGCAATACGAAATTGTTAAAATATTAAAATCAAAATATCTCTGAAACTACTGACAAGAATAAAAAATGTTTCAGGTAAAAGTTGAATGGTTTCGAGGACCAAATAACCTAGTGTAAGTTTTTTCTAAATAAATTATAGCACTAATTCAGAAGAATTTTAATTGACTTAATAATGTAATCTACTCCGTGTGCCCAAACTTTAAATACACGCTTGCTGGTATACACGCAACGACTAATAACAACTCAGGCGAACGTAAACGTTAATCATAGGTCGAACGGTTCGACTATGTTTACATTATCGCTCTAACCTGACTCACGGAACTATAGGCGAGATATTACCCCGCGGCAACGAAAAATCTGTAACTTCGGGTCTGGTTGAAAATATTTTCACGAAATTTTGAAAATTTAAACCACCGGTTGAAGTAAGTTGTATTAATACGAGCAGCAATAGTACAACAAAAAGCTGGAATGCACGACGATGGAGTTGTTGTCCAGCATATGCGTCATCGTAAACCTATTAACCACAGTAATGTTCGAAATTAAATTATGGCTAACCGCCTATACAAAATTGGTATCTGGAACGCAAGTGGACTAATAGGGAAAAGCCTGGAACTCTGGATATTCCCGACGAACAATTATATTGGCATCTAATATCAGAAACGTTGCTTAGAAATTTGCAAAACCAGCGAAAACTATGTCTAAGCAATCAACATTGTTATGAAAGATTAACATCACATTTTCTCAACTATATACAGGATTTTACAGTGAAAGATTAACATAACATTTTCTCAACTATATACAGGATTTTACCGTGAAAGATTAACATGACATTTTCTCAACTATATGTATACGGAATTTGGGGGATTTCGATAGACAATGTTTTCTCAGAAAATTATTGCAAATAATTTGTCTAAACTAATTTTCGACGAAGTACATTGAAAATGCCTTCCAAGGAGTTTATTGATTTTCGAGATGCAAATTTTCGTGCACGTAGAATAAATGCTTCCGTGTTACGTTGGCAAACGTGTGTTCAGCATAATAGTGCTTATTTTGAATAAAAATGTTGAATTTCAGCGGAGTCATGTACTTTCGAAGCAAGGGGCTCAGTCATGGGAACTTTCAGGTCGACCAAATATTTTTAGAAAATATGTAAAAGATACTTTTTATCATAAAAGTCTCTATTCTCTCGAAATACAATGCAGAGATAAGCAACCAGAAAACGAAAAATCTCTCTGTTAAAACGAAAATGATAGAAAAGTTATAGCATAATTATTTTGGGGAAGAATATTTCGATAGAAAAGATGTTTCATTCTAATATTCAATAACCGTTCGACAATTAGTTTCCAGTTCATTTATAAGAATTCCTCTGGTCTTCTTATACCAAGCCTTCAAATAGCAAAAGTTTTGTTTATAGAAAATTTGTTTGCTAGTTAAAAATCGTATTGTTATCATCTAAACACGATTCTTATTTGTGTAATTTTCAGAGAACGCCGCGCCATCAACCGGTCGAAACAACAACGATTCTACAATTAATTTGAAAACGAAACATGTTCGCTAGAGTAAATACTAATGCGTGCTACACGCAGCGATTTCTACATGCTGGCATACGCAATCCTAGCCAAAACCTCGAAAACGCACGTGATTGCATTTGCCGATAACAACGCGAAACTGCATTTCTACCTGCAGCAACATGCGCGTATCACAAACTAGATACACGAAATAACTTTGAATAGTAATGATGACAGCCGCAGAATTGAAACTGAATACCACTATCTTGCGCGCGTTAATAATGGAAATTTAATCTTGCGTTCCAATAAATGCACCTCGACAAATTCTTTTGAATAAAGAATTCGCCTAATACTCTGGACGTTCAATAGGATTACTTGAGATATTAATATATCAACTGTGTGTAACTTCCTTTACAGGAAGGGCTTCCTTAACTTTAAGCACAACATTTTCAGACCTTCCTTTGTTATTTAAAAAAAAAAACCGTAAACTGCTTCCTATTGGGACTCTACGCATATATTTATTTTTTTCAAATAATAATAGTGAAAACTGTACGAACTATAGATTATTGAAAACAGTCCCTTTAAGAAAAAGTGTCATCGTATCTGACATATCAGACGATTCCAGCCGTTCTAATTTGCAACAAAAAACAAGAGAAAAACTATCTTCGTTAGAAACTATGTAATTACAAACAAGGGAAAAGTAAAAATCTAAAAAAGTAAAGTATCCATTGCTTTTCCTCGTCTTTGCCATAATAAAAGGGGTAAAATCGATTTTTCCGAAATTCTAGACCAGTGTACCCTTAAGCAAAGTCAGTTTATTTAACCGTTTGCAAAGTCGTAGTCTCACGAAGCACGAAATACGCTCATCTCGCGATGTTAATCGCCATTGGATCCTTCTTCGATACTTCACCTATGGAAATATTCCTGAATAAATGACAGCATTCGAACTCGAACTCGCGCGCAAAAAACACTCCGGGAGAAGGGCATGATACATTAACACTCTTGGAAGACGATTACACGCAAGCACTTGGTCCCGCAGGATCAACCAGAAATATCGAATACCGATAAATAACGAAACGCACAAGTCACACTTTCCAAATCGACGTGTTCACCGAAAAGTTAGCTCGAACGCGTTCGCCTCGTACGGACACAATCACCGTGAAACGAAATTCCCTCGTAAAAACCCCGACCAGGCGTCGATGCGTTGGCATGTAAAACGGCAAATCTGACGTTTCCGTACAGGAATGTCGAAACAGCTCCAGGACGTCATCGAGGGAGGGGGTGGCGACAGGCATTGGAATTCGTTAAATGTTGACGCGCGTCCGTTGCACGTGCACACGTCGCGACGCGACTAGACAATTTCGTTTAACCCTTTGTCGTCGCGATACGCTCGATTAGAAAACCCAACGATCCACGTGACTCCACATTCCGATTGCAACTTTGTGCAACTCGTAGAATAGTAACCGAAAAGAGTCTTAAACCTCTGTTTAACGTGCAAGAAATCATGTTTCTTTTTTTTTTTTAACGCGATATAGGGTTGATAGCGGTTGTCGGTGTCCTGGATCGCCGCCACAAGGACATCGCGAGGTGATTAATAAATGCACACTCACCGAAACCGGTGGAGTTGTCGGTCCAAACACTTCCCGCGAGCGACGAGAGTAGGAAAACCGTCATTAGGAACCGCGAACGGTCCTCGATGGTCAGTAGAACACGCTTCACAGATTCACTAATCATCACGGTACCAAATGGACGAGAGGATACGCGACCGGCATCCCGACTGAGGGATCGCGCCTCGCAAACCCCAAGAGCGTGTTTCTCTTTCCCCTCCCCATCCTGGTTGCTTTCTCATCACACCGTTCTCCCTACCACGTTTCCTTTCCCGCCACGCGCAGACGCTTCCACGTTCGGGATTCAGGGGTTTCTAACTCTTGAGCTTACCCTTCCATCCAACCCCACACCGCCCCCCCCCCGGGCCACCCTCCTTTAATCCCACTCACTTATCTCTTATCAATAGGTGACGATTAATTATCGCTGTACTTCCCTCAGTCTGAACCCGATGCTTTGCTTGCTTGTTAACCGATGGAAGCACCTGTAGAACGTTCTTTGGGCTATCTTTCGACTACGCATCACGGATTAACCTGAATCCCACGCTGGTTAAACGTGTACTTAAACAATCGTTTCAATTTTTCGTTTCTATCGAACGCTTTTGGCACAAGACAATTTTTAACGAGGGACTTTTTCGTAAATGTTTCGGTACTCGAGGGTGAACTCGATTATTTTTGTATGTGTATATGTATAAAAATGAAATTTAAGACCTTGAGGATTTACTTGAAAACGAGATATAAAATATGTCGAAAGTCGTCGCCCGAAGGCCTTTCGAAACCGTATCGTCCCTGATGAAAAATATTTTGATTCGACCGCCGGTAGAATGTTTTCACGGTATGTACATAGTATATTCACCATTTTTGCGGTACATATATTTGAACTTTTTATTCTACAGTTGGCTGATTTTACTTTTTCAGGTATTATTGAATAGAATCGCTGAGGACTGTAGTAATAGTCGTTCAAATTTTATCCTGGAATGTAGAAAAACCAGTTACAAAATTCTGCATTCTGTAATTGCTTTATACAAGATGATTGACCACTCCTTGGAAAAATTTTAATGGGTGATTCTAGAGCCTAGAATAAGACGGGCATCAAGGATATCAATTTGTTGATTGAGCCTTCGTTAAAAAGTAATTAAAAAATTAAATTAAAAAATTTCAAATCATTCTAGAAAAATTATTTTTGGTTACGAGGCTCAACTGCAATCATTTTTGGTGAATACATATACCCCTGAAACCCTACCCACTTTCGAGACAAAAAATTCTAGTACGTACTGAAATTTTTAGACGAAATTTAAAAAATTATATTTAGTTACAGGAGTTAATTACAAGCATTTTTGGTGAATAGACATACCCCGAAATCCTACGCACTTTCGAGAAAAAAAATTTTTACCGAAAATCTAATGTAAGGCTTCCCTGAAATTACATGCGAATCTTTAAAATGTCATAACTCCTGAACGGATTGGAGGATTTTAATTTTTCAAAATTCAAACAACGCGTATTTTAGTGGAGAATATGTAGAAATTCTACCAAAATTGAAAAAGTTGTTCCTTGACACTGTAAAGAGAGAAAAACCCCCTAAAACTGGTCCAATTTTCAAACGGCCATAAATTCTACAATAGTAAAGGTATATCATTGAAATTTTTTTCTGGCACAGAGCCCATGCGTACCTACAAAAAAGTATTGAACAACTTTTCTGTATAGCGTCAAACAAATTTATTAAAAATGAAAAACAATTTTTTAAGAAAAATCGCAGTGCTGAAATTTTTTGAAGAAAAAAATATTTCAAATCGTCCTGGAAAAATTATTTTCGGTTGCGGAGGTCAATTACAATCATTTTTTATCATTAGATATACCCTCGAATTCCTACCCACTTTCGAAAAAAAAATTCGAGAAGGTGCGGAATTTTTCGACAAAATTAAAAAGTTTCAAATCATTCTGGAAAAATTATTTTCAGTTCTGGGTGAATTATAATCATTTTTTGTAAATAAACATACCCCCGAAATCCTGCGCATTTTCGTGAAAAAAATTCAGTACAAGCGAAACTTTAAACGTTAATAACTTCTTAACGAGGCCTCCATCAACAAATTGGTATTCTTGATTTTCGTTTTATTTTTGCCTCTAGAATCTTCCATTAAGGTTTTTCCCAGAGGTGGCCGAACATCCTGTATATCAGGAATTGTTTACTGCTGAAATTCGGTATCTTCTACATATGAATAATTAACGTCATTAAATTAAATTAACAGAGATGAATATATCAGAATAATTTCCTACGCATCACCCTAATACTATTTTAATTGGAGATAATAATCATACAAACAAAATGGTATTTTCATTGATTCATTAATTATAAAAACACAGAATTCCAAACTAGCCGTATTTTGTGTTTTGGCATAAAGTATTCCTACCTAAGTTTACAGGAAAAACCAACAAGAATCGTTTTCTACTATTTTTCTTTTTTTAATGTTTGCATATGTGAAAAATTAAATATATACAGAACACAGATGTAAAAAAAATTTCTCCCGAAGTCGCAAAATAAAAATTGAATTTTCCAATTTTCCTTGTTACCAAAAACAAAATTTAATTACAGAATAAATTTCTAAAGCAAAGAATAAAGTCGCTCCATTTTTCCACCGCAGTTTTATAATTCTCAATTGGAAGTATTGACCATTAAAGGAGAGAAAATTATTTTTTATTATCGTTTCATGTCATTACATTCTTTTTTAAATAGCAAAACACCAATATCTTTGTAAAAATGTCTTATATGTATTTAAAATGTAGTGAATTAATTAGTTCCTAAAAAAAATATAACTATTTTTTCATCAATAAAAACGCAAAGAGTTTCCGCTTGACCTAAGAGCTCTATTAATTTGCAAAACTTCAATTTGAAAAGTATTGAACAGCTGCACACAAATATTCTTTCAATGAAACGTCAAAGTCCTTTGACGCATTTACAGTTTTATACATTTGATTGAAACGATTTCTACTCGATTTTTTGCATTCGTTCAAATAGCTAAGTAGCTTCTTCGATTCAGTGTCACAAAAATAAAAGATTATCCTGACTAGAAATATTTGAAATACTGTTTCTGTCTTTAAAAAGTGACCAAAATATATAAACAAGCGAATATTTGTCAGGAAACGTTGTCAAATTTTTTATTTCGAGTCACTGAATTTCCCTACAAAAACTATTGTTTTAATTCACGTTTGACTATTATCCAAACGAATTAGAATTTAAACTTACGTTTGCAGACAATGAATTAAAATACAAATTTCGCACAATGTTCGGAATTTACAGTACTTGACAGGGATTGCTGATTATTCAATCAACGAGAACCATGGTACACTTAATGGCTAAGATTAGGGTTCATCAAAGCAGTCTAATGTGATTATGGTGGTCCGTTAAGCGATACCAATCATCCATCGGTTGAACTGAATATACCAATAAACTTGAAACAACTGGGATTATACACAGTACAAGGTCGTTCGAAGCATGTACTATCCGGTCCAAATGAAGTGTCAAAATCTGTTTTCTTAAAGCCTGCTGAAGATTTGAAATTCACCTTTTTTTTAAATTAAATCTTTTGTTATTTGAATAGACTTTAATGTAACTAAATCATTTTATCGTGCACCATTACAGAAACGAAAAATTAAAATATATTTATAGCATACGAGATATCCGAAGCATCGAACAACCCAATATTTTTCATCCGGCCCTGGCTACGATTTTAGAGCTTCAACAAATTAAAAAAAAAAACGTAAACAAAACAAGAAATGACACAGAATATGGAAATATTATTTTCAAATTGTTCGAGGCTCGATCCAGGGATCGAGTTAGTTAAAAAAGAGTAACATTTCGCGATTAAACAAAAAAAAATACCGATGTTCGTGTTTTTAACGATTGCAGAGATAGAAATTTTTTTAACGAAACCAATGTTCGTAAAAATTGGTCGAAATAACTCGACTGGGGAGGAACGAAAATTACGAATAACCGAATTAAACGCAAAGTTTTTAGGTAGGAATCGTGATAGAGAAAATATTAGATTTGTGAAAAAAAATTATTTGTAAAAATATAATCCACCGTTCGATCTAATTTGGTTGCATTCTAGTAAGGACTATTATTATTTAACTCTAACAAAAAGAAAGCAGCGACCTTAAGTAACTTTAAACTTGACAAGCGTCAAGAACAAACAGTATTTATAAAGTATCTGATATTAAAAACTCTACGTTTCCTTGTTTTGCTTTTTAAATATTTAAAAGTAGCTAAAAGTTTATATTCTAAATTTGATATCCCTCCTGTTAATTCTTTTTATTATTTCAGTCGCCACGATTATTTATGTCTATATTGCAATTCCTTCAGTTTCATTCAGTTCGATAAAGAATTGTTTTAGAGGATAATGTCGATTTTTACTATTTACTTTAATATTGTAAGGACGAAGACACTCTCCCCCCTTTATTTTCAGATTAGCAGTTAGGGGATTGAAGAAGGCGTATATTCGTTGGAGAATCGTTCGATAGTAGTTTAGGGTAGACGAAAAATACCGTGTAAATACGTTGGTAATCCCCTGTTTTCGTTCCTCTAAGCACGGCGAAATCTTCGAGAATGGATAACGATACTCCCGGTAGGTGCGGATTAGAGAATCGTGGCGTGTAGAAGAACGTCGGAGGGTAAGTTCTTGCAGATGCCCATGCTGGAAGGCGTGTCCGGGAGACTCGAAGGCGCCAGAAGACACACTGCCATTGTAGCTTCCAACTTCTGACGATGCTGGTCCTCGTTCCTTCTTCCATTTCGCTTCCTCTTCCTCGTACCTCCTGCCGTCAACGCGATCTCTCCTCTTTGCACCCTTTGCTACACGACTATCGTCTGCCAGTATCACGCTGGCCCTTCAGTCCTCGAGCACCAGCGAAAATTCTCTCTTTTCTTTTCCCCCGATTCCGAAGCCAATCGACCGTGCTCAACTACAGCACACTCTACCTACCCCAATATTTTCTATTCCCTCATGAAACTTTCAATTGACCCTCGTGCTTCAACTATTACGAATGTGAAATACGGTTCGCCGGTTCTTTAACCATAGACGCGT